GGAGTCGTCAGATTTGGTGGCGAGTCGGCGGTCTGAGTCGACCCAGAAGACCGCGTAGGGCTTGAGGTCGCCGTTTTTCCAGTTGACGTTCTTTAGATGCTTGGCTGAGACGATCGTAAGGTCGAGATCGAGATGCTTCGGCGGTGGAGGGCGAGAGGTGGCCATCGGGGTTGGGCTCTCTGTGCTAACGTGCGCTGGTGGGGGTGCGAGGGGTGCGGAGGGTGCGTATGATAATGGACAAGAAGGAGAGATGGAATTATTGTTGTGTTGGGGGAAGAAGGTAACGTTGGGCCGCATGTGAAATGACGATAATACCCTCTCTTTAGTAAATTACTGAAAGAGAAAGGGTGAGCTTTCCACGTCGGTTCAAATCCTTTGTGAAGGATAGTTTTACCTAATCACGGAGAGATTGACGATATTTATATTTGGTTTGTGTTGTGTAAAGTCCTTGTAGGTTATGGATTGTGAAATTGGTAATTCCTCAGAAGATTAGGAATCTAATTTTGGGTGAAATAACATTCCTAATTTTCTTTTCGATTTGACCACACAAGAAGTGTTGATTTCCAGGGTCGGACCTCTAAAACCCGATTGGATTAGGAAATGTCCGATTTGAGTCATGGGATGTGGGCTTGTTATGGTGACTTCACTAGGCCCACCCAAATTTAATAAACCCAAGGATGTATGAGTGGAGTTTTTTTTTTTTTTTTTTTTTTTTTTTTTTTTTTTTTTGGCCAGAACAAACGATAGTATATTTACAAGATATTTTTATAACGGTCAATATACCAACGCAAGGCAATAGTCTAATACTCACAATAAAGCTACATTACAATTAAGTATTGAACTTATAACGAATTAATTTGAGACTTTTTTCAGCTAAGAGAAGACAAATATCATTAGACCGAAGACTAATTGGGTGTGTGGATTTTATATTGACTTTGTTATCGCTGCAAAACAGACGCATTATGCCCAACATAAAAACTCTCTTGAGTGAAGGTTGTCTCTAACAATAATATCGTTGATTAAATATTGCCGCAAGCAACAACCCGTTCCGCACCCAGTCTTGAAAGTTTTTTTTTTTTTTTTTTATGACGTCTAGAAAGTTCTTTGATGCAGTAAGTAATCTATATTCTAACCTGTTATGAAGAAAATTGATTAATTAGCATAAGTACTTAAGATGGAACTGAAAACAATTACTAATATATAAATCAATTGCATCTCATCAGAGACGTCCTAAATTATATTTAGAACAATCTAATGGTACCAAACAAAAACTGGGTGAAGAAATAAACAAAGAAAGAAACCAGGACCTAGTTAGGTCGTCTATAGTCTAATGATCAGCGTTCCCTCACTTTCATAGACAAAATTATGTGGCCTTCAGCCTTGACCAGTCCAGGCCCTTCATTCCTCACGAGTCCAAACCGGCCTTCCTTTTTCTGATTCATCTTCTTTGGCAGAGGGATTCTAGCCCTGCTCACGCTGGCTATGCCATCAGAGGTTCCTGGCTCGGTGTCGTTACTCCCCCTCAAGACCTCCACGTTCAGGTGCCCCCAACCCAAAAGGCTGGTCCTCAACGGAATTTCGCATTTTCCGTCCCATCTAGGGTCTGGTAAGGCACGAACAAAAGGAGTCCGGTACTCTCTGCCGGGTTCAACCCACACAAGAGCTCTGTAAATCCGATCGGAAGCACAGATGGTACTGCTACTTGGGTCGTCAACGCCGTCCGCATGGTATATGGTGACATTCAAAACAACTTGATGGTCTAAGTCACGTTGAAGCAATAAGCTTTTTCCTGCAGGTATTCTCGTGTTCCTCATCAGGGCTTTGCTCCGATGACCACCATTCTTCATGTTAGAATGGTCATGTGCCAATGCCATCCTCCCCATATATAGCTACCTTTACCGGATACGAGAGAGAGAGAGAGAGAGAGAGAAACCTTATGCAGTTAGAAGAGAGTTGCTGTGTTGAATCCTTATCGTAATAGGTGAGGATGCATGCTTAGACGTTGGCTAGGATTTATATAGGAAAGAGGCACCGGGAAGAGAGAGAAAACCCAAGCAAAGCTTTCCTATCCTATATAGGAACTACTTGCCTATTTTCTCTTCCACAAATCTAACACTATTATAATACAATTATTCGTATTAATTGCTATCTGTAAAACATCTATTAGTATTATCACTTTAAAAATATTTTAATAATTTATCGCTTTTCTTAGAATATATAAATATATATAATAAATAGTGTTGAACATTCATGGTCGACCATGATATGTCAAAAAACAAAAAACAAAAAAACAAAAACAAAAAATTACAACGGAACAAGTAAAAAACAAACAAACAAAAAACACTTAACAAAGAACATTTCGGATTAATGCCTACTTAATCTTTACCATCATTCAAAATAGGAGCCGAAAAATAAAGAAGACATCAAAACTATGCAAACCCAAACATAAATTGTGGGCCGTAACAGCAAGATGTTCAACATCGCAATATTTATAAGTTAATGAAGTTACCAAAAAAAAGATGGACAATTAGATATTATAAGAACGTATTTGTGTTCCTTCACACAACTTTGAGAACTCGCTAACTCAGTTTAGGCAAGAGCAAAGGTCGAGTTGAGATTGGATTAAACAAACTTTAAAGGACAAATGGTACGCCAATGAGCATCCTTATTTTGATATGGCCTCATCACTTCTCCTCTCATTCAATATATCAGGTTAGTTTCCAATATTACCCTTTAAAATTAAAATCGCTAAAATAATTTATTTTCCTTCGCTTTATTGTTTGTCATTTTATGTAAATGAATCTTTCATCCAATTTATTTATTTATTTTTAGAATTTAGAGAGTTATTTCTGCTCAGACCAGAGACACATACAACCTGTTAGATGAAATGTGCAAGAGACCTGGTGCTGTGTTACTGTCTACTGTGAGCAGCGTGCGTTTTTATTTATTTATAAATATTTTATTTAAATGAAACCTGGCCAAAACAACGTCATTTTGGACCAGGATTTAAAAAAAAAGAAAAAAAGAAAAAAAAACATAGAAACAGCTAGGCCATTTCATGGACTTCTATAGGGTTTTAGTTGGGTTTTTATAATTCCTTACTTAATTGGATTTTTATAATTTCTTACTTAATTGGGTTTAATTAAGAGTTTTCGTTATTTAATTGGGTTTTGAGAATTCATTATCATCACCCAATTTCATCAAAGTGTGTATGCATCAAAGTCAGATGCATATATATATATATATATATCTTTTCTTAAGCAAACGCCAATTTTGTTCAATTTTTTTTTTAGCTCTTAGCTTTTAAAAATTGTACATCCGCTGAAAAATTCATGGGTCCGCAGCTGGGTGATGAGTTTTTTTATATTATAATTTGACTCTTAGGGCCAGTTTGGCATTGCTGTGCTGTGAAAATAATTGTTGTCAGATTTGCTGTGAGAGAAATTAGCTGTGAGAGAAAGTAGTTTGGCGTTTGGTAAATTTTTTGTTAAAAGTGTTGTTGGTATGGATTCCCATATAATTAAAAAATGATTGTTGCATAATCATTCAACCCAGCATCTCTGATTCATGCATAATCAGAAAATGAAAGCACCTTATTAGCTGCTTTATCTTATAACTTTCTATCACAGTAATTTTTAACAATAAGTAATTTTTTCATAGTTTACCAAAATGGTTGGCTTTCTCAAAAATTTTAAAAAATCACTTATCACCCTAAATAAGCAATACCAAACGGGCATTTAATAATGTTAAAAGTGTCCAAGGCGGAGTCCATTTTATCAAAGTCTTTATTTAAGAGTTTATTTATTTATTCCGATTTCTCACTCACCCACCATTGAAATGGAATTTAAAAATAAAAAAGATTTTTTATTATTTTTATTTAAGAAAAACACATTTGAAACCACAAGGTGTGATGCGATTGGCAAACTGCCACCTCCAACGGGTGAGCTATCTAGTGCCTCAATGGTAAGGGTTCAAAACCCGTTAAAAGCACTTTGTAGTCAGGGACAAGCCAAACCCTAAGCGAATATTAATCTCACTCTTCGAGTGTGGGAACACCTAGTGATACTTACCAAAAAAGAAAAACACACTTCACTAAATGGTGGATTGGAAGGACAAAAGGGTCCTAAAGCGAAAGCACCTACGAACGTCATATGCTTTCTTGAACGGAACAACTAAACCGAGGCAAAGTTATGGGACTTCTGATAGCGAGTGCCATCAGCGTGACTGCTCCCCGTTGATTGGTTTCGATAAGGCCAAAGTCAGAGATAGCCTTCTCTCTCTCCCTTCCTCTCCAAAAAAAGTAAAAAGAAAAAAAAAGAAAAAAGGAAAGTAGATCTCTGATCCCTCATGGCTCCCTACACTTTGCCGAGAAAATAAGAAACCCCTGTATCTTTTCTCGAGAAAATATGTCGGACGCTTTGATCAATGGCCTGGCCGGAGCTGGCGGCGGAATCATCGCCCAGCTCATCACATATCCTCTTCAGACTGTATGAAAATTTATAGTCTGTTTTAATTGTTTCTCTTGAGCTTTTATTTTATTTGATTTTTGTTTAAATTTTGGGTCGTGATCTGTAGGTTAATACTCGACAACAAACAGAACGTGGATTGAAGAAGGAAAAGAGCAAGCTCGGAACTATTGAACAAATGCTTCAGGTATATATATAAATGTTCGCCGCGTTTGGTTGCTGAGAAAATGGACACATTTCTCTGTTAATTTCCATATATCTTATTATTAGGCGTGTGCGTGGTAATTGATGTGCAGGTTATAAATCATGAAGGATGGGAACGGTTGTACGGAGGTTTGGCGCCATCATTAGTGGGCACAGCAGCATCTCAGGTGAGCAAAGCTTAGCTTCTCATTCTTATTGTTACTAATACTATGATTATAAAATAGGAGGGAGGGAATGTGAAAAATATTTATGTGCTTCCGTAAAATTCAAATTCACTGTTGTTAGCTGAGAAATTAAAGAAAAACAGAAAATTTGGAATCTTACAGCTTTTAACAGAACAGGAACTAATTTAATAAAGGAGTTTGGCCGTATATACAGATGTCTTTTATAATATCTCAGCGACACCTTGATTTGTGTTCTACATTGGCCAAAACCCTGAAGGAAAAAATGACAGAGAGCGGTGGTTGCTGGGTTTTTTTCTGTTACATTTTATTGGCACCCTTTTGCATTGATTTGATACAGTTATTCTCTTGATTAGTAACGGCTAGTGACTGCTATAGTGATATCCCAAAATTATCTGGCCTCCATTGTTAGGCTGTCTGCATGAAGCAGGCATGGCTGGCTTTTGACTCATGTATCAGATCACCTAATCAAAATACGTTGTGTGTATTGGCCCAGTTATCTTCTATTTTGTTAGAATTTTTAATTTGGATCCAGTCCATAAATCATGTGTTTTAGTTCAGAATTTAGATCATCTAAGAAGTCAACATTCACAGATCAATGCTTTCGTTACCTACATTGATCTGTACCATCAATGAAAAGTGAAACGAAGTATTTTGTTAATGTATATGCAGCCCTTTGAATAAAAAGTGAAACAAGGATGCCAGCTGCAATGTGCTTAATACTGTCTATCTAAACTTTAATGCTCTTCATAGTGCCTTTTTAGCCAGAACTTCCATGGTGTTACATGATGTAGGGCATCTTACATCCTTTTAGCTCAGAACTATAAACCTGTATTGCATAAATCTGCATCATATTTGTTTTAATTGGTTGTTTGGTTTCTTATGTAATTGCTATTTTATTGGTACAGGGTGTTTACTATTATTTCTATCAAATATTCAGGAACAAGGCTGAAGCTGCTGCACTTGAACGTAGGAAGATAGGGGTTGGTGATGGATCTGTTGGAATGCTATCTTCACTAGTGGTTGCTGCGTTATCTGGGTATTTTCTTATGCATTTGATTATGGCCTTAAGACATTCATTGTTTCATAATACATTCAAAGCTATAAATCATCATTTACTTAAATAGCTGCATTGGATTTTTCTGAAAACTCTTAATAAAATGCAAATATAGCTAACAAAAAAGATTTCTCAGCACTTACGGTAGTATTTTTTTTTTTCATTATTAGTTCTCTTTCCTTGTTCATGTGATTTGCTGCTGAAAATCTCACCACAATTTTATTCTTGCAGGTGTGTGAATGTGCTGTTCACAAATCCTATATGGGTAGTTGTTACACGCATGCAGGTAAAGATGAAATTCATTGAATCTCCAAATGTGAAAGTGACACCAAACTTTGTCTTTGCTGTCTTATTTGCGTATTTCTCCTTTTATTGTATCTATGTTTTATGCTAAAAGTGACCTTTGAAGAGCACTGTATTCCAGGATTTAGAACTTATCTCGGAATTTTGAAGTACCTATGATGTTGTTACCAATTTAACCAAATATTCTCTTCTTCTTATGTGTAGCTAATTTTATAAACTGTGCTTAAGAATCTCTCTTACTAAGTGTACAAATTTGATGTTATTAATTTATCGTTTGCTCTCTTTTTACACTGTTAGACGTATAAAAAAAACTCAAAGAAGTCCGAGCCTGGTCCGGAGCTATTAACTGCTCAAGATGAAGCAGTCCTTGCTGCAGCTGAGCCTCCTCCCTTTGGGACAACTCATGCGGTTGGTATTATGTTTTGTGTTACTCTTAATTCTTTGGCCTCCACCCTGGTGGGGGTATTGGGGTATTCATTTACTGATGAGTAACTCTTATATGGTTGCATATTACTGAATAAGTTGGCTTGAAATGTTATCAAATTTGTGCATTAAACATTATATGATTGCATGATGTATCTCTTTTCAAAAAAGAAATGATTGCACGATGCATCACTTGAATGAAAAATATTTTCACCGCAGTGGAGGACTTTTACGTAGATGATAATATTAGGTTGATACATTGTGGATTAGCAATACTGTTCAGGTCCAACAGACTATCAATTGATCTGCAAATTGATTGATCACCCGATTGGTAACAAAATGGAACATTTGCATAAACTACCAACTAATTGTTAATTCAAATGTTTGAATTTTGAAACTAAACTGGTTGTGGAGCACGGTTTTTCCAAGAGATGGTAAACATGATTGGTCCTTCATCTAGTACTACTGAAGGAAGAGCAACTGTGCATGATTGATAGTAAAGTGGGGTAAAATCAGACGGCGAAATATATACCAGGATAAATACAGTTCAGAATGCTGCTAATTAGCTTATTTTTATATGATGATGTTGTCATTGTTTAGACAATTCACAACAACTTAATTATTGAGTGGGCTGGATAGTTGTGTCTCTATTGATTTCAATATTGAGTTTAGTTTTCTGATTCATGCAAGTTTGGCTTCAGTGCCAGATAATATTTTTCTTTTCCAATATTATTTCCTTAACTTTGTAAGGAACATGTACAGATCCAGGAAGTTTATGATGAAGCTGGAGTTTTGGGTTTCTGGAGAGGTGTATTCCCGACATTGATCATGGTATGTAAGAAGTGTGTCTTATACAGGCTAAGGGGGTATGACTAATTGTTTCTGCTTTTGACCACAGGTGAGTAATCCTTCCATACAATTTATGCTGTATGAAACTATGTTGAAGAAGCTGAAGCAAAGACGTGCTTTGAGTAAGAAGGATAACAGTGGGGTTACTGCTTTAGAGGTTAGTTTCATGTAGATCTTAAACTTTTAAGCATCCCTAACCTAATGTAAAATTTTCATGATATATACCTTTTATTAGAGTACTTACAGTACTAGTACTATGTTTCTCCCCCTTGAGCTAATAAATTGCCTAATTCTGGTAGATATTTCTTCTTGGTGCTTTGGCGAAACTTGGGGCTACGGTCGTGACTTATCCTCTTTTAGTTGTGAAGGTGAATGACGTGACCTTATACAGATCTGTATTTGTGAAGCAATGCATACTTGAGTTGTTATGTGAATGGATTGCTATTGAAATGTGAAATGCTTGATCTAGGTCAAGGCATTTGAAGTTAACTTAGTGAACTGGTGTAAATGTCTAGAACTTTTAAGCTCCTCTGGATTGAAAAGACATGGATATGTGCCACCGTTTTAAATTTTGGCTGCTTGTTAGTTTTGACTTGAGCAATACACTCCCCCACCAAAAAAAAAAAGAAAAAAGAAAAAGAAATATTTTTGTGTAAAGAAAGGATTGGAGGACTTGGGTTGAGCTTCTGGCTAAGATTTGGTTAATGAGGGGAAACGAATAGTAAAAGATTGAGGAGATGACACTGGTAAGAGACAAGATAGTCTTGGTTCTGTATTGGATTTGGTGTCATTAAACTTATAAGTATATAAAGAAAGACTTTTAAAGTATATTGTGATCTCATCCATATAAATACTACTGTCTTAGTGTAATTTTTTTTCAGCTTCTTATTGATTCTCTTGCTGATGCAGTCGCGGCTTCAAGCAAAACAGGTTACAACTGGTGACAGAAGGCATCATTATAAAGGTTTGAATATGACTATTTATTCATACATTGAGAAACTAAAATATCAAAACAACAATTCTGTATATTTGCAGATGAAAATATCTTGTTTGTGAATTATGATGTTTCATTATTTTTGGTTTTACGTTCAGGTACGTCAGACGCTATACTAAAGATGATTCGCTATGAAGGATTATATGGGTTTTACAAAGGGATGGGAACAAAAATAGTACAAAGTGTACTTGCGGCTGCTGTTCTGTTCATGATTAAGGAAGAGCTTGTTAGGGGTGCTCGGTTCTTGCTCACTAACAAAGTGAAATCAAAGCCTCCATAGTTGTGAACCTAACCTCTCTTTTTCGGCCACGCCTTCACCTCCCCATTCCCAATTGGTTTATTTCATAGTGTTATCGTTGCAAGATCAAATATTTATTCGAAATGTATTCGTCATTGTTGGCAAAGTGGTACATTGAATATAAGGGATTTAGGGGGATCAATTTGGGGTAATCTGGTAAGTTTACCCCTATTTTATTTTTAGACTTAATTCACCATGTGTATATTATACTGGAGACCCTAATTACCATGGGGTAAAATCAACTAATAACATCAATAAGTTTGTTTTCAATAGAAAGTTGTCACTATGCCAATTTTTCATATTACTGCATTTTGTAGTATGTTCGAATAATTTCACTATTTAACTCAGGAACAAATTTTTGTTTTTGTTTTCAAAATGGAAATGATTATTAGTACTTACAAATTACAATGCTTATGTGAATAAGACGATCATTTCAAACATCTAAGAAATTAACCATAAAATACATGCAAAGGCAAGTATTTATCAAGAAATTTCTTAAGAAAAAAAAGAGCCTTTATTACTCCCACTGAAGCTGTGAAGCGTTCCCCGCTCTCTCTCTCTCTCTCTCTCTCTCTCTCGGAGCCATTTTCAGACAAAAGCCGTCAAACCCAGTTCTCCAAATCCCCACCAAAAAAATGCAAGACAAAAACTCAGAGTCGGCCAACAAAAACCCTAAGAAGGCCAATCTCTTAGACCATCACTCCATCAAACACATCCTCGACGAGTCTGTTACTGAGGTCAGTAGGAATTCCCTCGATCCGTTTCGGTTTCCAGGTTTTCCATTTTGTTCTATTTATTTATTGTTTTTGTAATTCGAATAGATCGTGACGAGCCGTGGATATGTGGAAGACGTGAGGATGAGCAATATAAGATTGTTTCTCGGAACAATTATAATCGTAATTGCTCTCTTCGCTCAGTTTTACAAGAAGAAGTTCCCTGAGAACCGAGACTTTCTCATCCTCTGCATCGTCTTATATCCTCAAAATTCATGACATTATGCTTTTGCTTGTGTTTATCTTCGTTTAATTACTGTTAATTTCTGTTTAATTGATGAGAAAACAGTTATTAGATTATTTAATATGATTTGATGCTCTTTTTGCTTGCTTTCATGGCTTAAAATTTGATGTGTATTTTACTGCTGTCGCATAGTTTTGGATTGATGTTAGCTTCAAGTGTGTTTGATCTTTGACTCTGGCAAGTATATAGTCTTCAATGGACTATTGCAGCTTATCATATACACAAAGGAGAAGAATGCCATCCTCTTTACGTATCCTCCAGCGGTACGTTTCTCTTCGGGATTGAAAATGTAGCTACGATGATTGATTACATGCTGATGTTTTACTTGTAGGTTACTGAATTTTTGAGTGTGTTCTCACGCTGATATATGTCTTTTCTACTATATGCTGATAACCCAATCGCACGTAGGAGTGTGATTTGATAAACTCTGATATCAGTATGTATACTAGGACTTTCCATGCTTTCGATTCCTCATGTCTAGCTTCCTTTGTTATATCTACTATTGTATACATCCATACTCTAGTTTCAATATAAAATATTTTGTATCCTTGTCTTATATCCCATTCAAGGGTTAATTTTCAAAGTTTTGCCTTATGCTACTGAATAGTGGCTTTGTCACCTGCAATTTGGATTAGGGTGTTTGCTTGGTATTGTTGACTGGAGTTGAGTGATGACTTATCAAAGTTGGGGGGTTCTCGGGAACATTTTAGCTTTATACATGTCTACGTGTCTCTATTCATATGTACATATTAAGCTACTATACTGTAACATAAGTGATAAGCTACAGTCATCTCAGTTACTCTAGTAGAAAGTCTAAAGAACCCGAATAATTATATCTCCTTCTTCTGTGATTAGATGTATCCTCCCTCTTGTATATGCATTATGCAATTGGGACATGTCTTAGACATTAAGCTCAATCTTGTATTCCCAGTAGGGTGGAACATGAAGAGTTCTCTGTTGAAATGCCCATTAAGGGTTTCTTGTTCCTTCTTTGCGCCACCCCCCGGTTGACTGTTTTTGCCAAGCTGCCTATCCATGGTTGTTAGGTCACATGCGTTATGTGTGCAGAATGATGATTGCTTGATAATGGGGAGATTTTGACTTTTATTTTCTCTAGTTGAGACAACATGTTTATCCTTGTTAGGAGCAAGAATTAAAATAGTAAAATCCCTTTTGGAATTTTGTAACTCTCTTTTGACAGGTTTAAAGTAAAACAGAATTACTCTTTCTTTTATCAGACATGTGTTACACCCCATCTTTGTTTACCCGGTTGGTTTATAGGATCCCATTATTATTTTTTTCTTGTTTATTCTTACTATTTGGAACCTAACCCTATATATCAGCCATCTGCAGTACTCTTTCATGAAGAACTTTTATATTGAACCACAGATGCTGCACTAGAATTTTATGAGTATATAAAATATGATTGTTCCTACAGGTTTATAAGTTAGAATGATCAATATATATTGGTGAAACTTTGTCATTCTTATAACATAGTTCACCCATCTAAATTTTTAACTCGTAAAATATTGCAAGTTTTATACAAAAGGGGATTATTCACGCAGGATTCCTTCACAAGCACTGGATTGACGGTCTCTTCCCAATTGCCAAGATTCTCTGATATGTACACACTTGTGATAGCAAGTGCAGACCCCAAATCTATTTCCGCAAATCAACCAGTAAAGTTTACCAAGAGTGTTACTCAGTGGTCTCTCTCTCTCTCTCTCACACACACACACACACACACACACACGCATGCACACACACACAAGAAGAAAATATGCACATGCATGCATAATCAATTTTGGCAACATTTTGGAACATTTCAGGTTCACAAAGGATGGGATTTTGGTGGAGGGCCTCTTCTGGAAAGATGTTGAAGCTTTAATAAATGAATACCAGAAAGAACCAAAGAAGAGCAAGTGACAGGAAAACTGCTGAATAGCACATTTGATGGGGACGCTGATTGGAAGAGAGAGTTTCATTTAGAGCTGTCGTGTGATTATAGATGTTGCTCTTTGACAATGTGACTTTTTGCTCTTTAGAACCAAACCAGTGTCCATTATATTCCATCATTTAGAAAACAACCGACCGGATGAATTGATGAATCTTGAACAGTTAGCTTCTTATGTTACCCAACTTTATAAAGTCAAAGTTCTAGGACTGCCTAAGTCTGAATATATATTCAGTTCGGTGTTATTGGTCTCCCGTGACCTGTTTTTTTCTTCTGTTTTATGAAACTTTACTTTGTTTAATTGGAATCATTGCATTGGAATCTTAGCATCCCCTAACCCCAATCAACGGCCTAAAAAGGTAAAAGTAAGAACAGCGAAAAGTAATTGCCTCAATAAATACAAAGGGACCTACAATGAAAGACCTTTTTTCATGAGCTAACAAATGACATATTTACTTACTAGCAATCGATATCCAAAGATAGATAATTTTTCCAATTATTGAACTAAATCCTAAATCCTAAACTTCATTTTTATGTTGATTATATATAATTAGTAAACAACGTAACAAGAATGACTTCATATACCAATTTCTTACTTTCCATATATATCATTTTCTTACTTTCCATATTCCTAAGTTTCTTTATGCCTTACTTTCTCATTATAAATAAATAAACATATCAAGTCCTCACAACCAATCTTTGGCCAGAAAAAAAAAAAAGTTAAAGCGCCAATCACATATACATTGTTTAGTGGATTAATTGTACTTTGCTTTGTTCGGTTGTTCCTCAACCATCAGCCTCCTTTTGTCCAAAAAAATAAAAAAGAAGCCCTCAGCCTCCAATGCGTGTGTACGGTACCAGCCAATCTCTTATCGGGCGGAACCCGTGGTGCGGTCCGTTGAGCGACTGACGTGGCACCTCCTTCAATGTTTGGCTTGACGGATAGTCGGGTCCCACAAAGAGATTGATGAGCTGACGTGGTGCCTATGCAGTCACGCCTCGGATCTGAAGACCAACACAGAATCGCATTTTATAGGCGGTTTTCAAGTCCGCCTCATATTTCATTAGTCCAGTCCCCTCCCAGGCCCAGCTGTATTATAAAAACCGACCCCGGGTACATCCATCCTCTTCCATTTTCGCAACAGAGACCAATTATTACCTGTGTGAGATATTTTCTTCTCTCTCTGAAATCCTCTTATCTCCTTCTCTCTATCCTCACCCACGCAATTCAATCTTCGTTCTCCGACTCGATCTCAATCTCAATCAGGTTCTGGGGCTTCAGATTCAGATTTGGAAACCACAATTTAAAAAAATAAAAAAATAAAAACGAATTAAATCGAATTAGGGTTTCGAATCTATCAAAGGCGATTTAACGGAAAATTCCCAATTATTCGCGATGACTAGCCCTGGAAACCAAGATTTACATACGAATGATGAGATCGACGGCGTCGATCGCATTGCGGATCAATCAAACGGTGAAGAATTGGAGAACTCGTCGTCCTCGAATGGCGCTGAGAGCTCCAGCGTTGGACCAGCGTCGAGGAGTGAGATTGGGCTCGAAGAGCGATTGACGGACATACTAGTTGATGAAGGGGATGGAGATCTGTTGCTCCAGCAGAGCAATCGAGAGGACCGTGTTTTGCAGTGGCTACAAGCGCTCGATATGCAGGTTATGGGTGCGTGTCGTGCCGACGAGAGGTTGAAGCCCTTATTGAAGATGAATGCCTCGAACGACGTCGCAGAAGGTCGATTGTTAGCTCAATTAAGCCAGGTATGTTATAACCATGATCTCAAAGAAGTCAATGTAGAAATTCACTGCTTAAGCAACTTGATTTGAAGCTCTGTGTTGCCATTTACAGTATTTGTTGGGGGTGCGGTTTCAAAAATTGGCATTGAGGCTACAAATAATTGCTAGATGCTTTGTGAATAGGCCGAATTGTTGTTGAACATCGGTCGAAGTAGGGGATAATTTTTGGGATTGTTGTTTTTTTTATTTATTTCTGGTTTTGCAAAATGATGATCTCACACGTTGTGTTTGATGAACAGCATTTCGAGCCAGCAGAAGTTGGAATGCTAGCAAGGTGCTTCTGTATACCTCTTGTTTCTATTCGTGTGGGAAAGATCAACAAGCAAGGGACTCTCTTGTGCCCCACTGCTGCTAGGTAAATATCAGATTACTATATCTCTTGATGCACTTGTTTGGTATCTTTGTTTGTTTGAAAAGTTGTTTGTAATTAGTATTAACTCTAAAATTTCTTTTCATATCTTGCTCTTTTGCATAGTTGAATAAGAAATGAACATAGCCTATCACTTAGAACAAGTAGTCTGTGCATTTAGATAGCTTTTCTGAAATCACCGACTTTCAAATTAATGGGTGTGCTTCTTTTTGCCCTCTGTATCCCCCTTTCATTTTACTGACAAATTCATGTGTGGCAATACCTTTTCACATGATGATGCTGCATTGGCGTTTATATCAATAAGTTTTGACAGAAAAGGAGAATAAATAATGTTTTTCATCATGTTTCCAAATTATTGAACTGCGATTGTGCCAGAAGATCATATTTCTAGTCTGGTCCCTTCCACTTAGCGCTTTATTTTATATTGGGGGAGGTTATATTGATATGAAACAATCAATTACCATTCTAGCCTGATTACTAGGATTTTCCGGAATCACACTGGAATCTATTGTGCTAATGCATAAATTTACCTCCCTGCATTCCATGTATATATGTAATTCAAGCACGTCTTGGATGTGTTACTTGATTGCACTATACAGTCTTGCTTTTGACATTTCATGCAGGCAGCTGGTTTAAAATATACCTGATGTTAGTAATGTTCTGATGTTTCGCAGTTAATCAAACATATTAATTTATGCCTGTAAGTTCATATTTGTCGATATTAATTTCCAGGTCCCCGTGTATGTAAGTATTGGTTGTTTGCTTGTGGATGTTTAATTTTTGTTCAAATCATTCGTCTAGCATTTGGAAGACTGGACTGCATTTTCATGTTGATTATGAATTTAAGAAAGTGATTTTCATCTTTATAGAATTTTTTTGAAAGGTTCACTTAAGATATTCCTGAATTTTTTATTGGGATTCATAATCGAGTAAGCTCTCTCTCGTATGGGTAGTGACATACTGTAGGTACTTGAAACACAGTTTGTTATGGCTTGACGAATGGGAATGGGAATGTGGTACGTCACCTTACTCTGAACATGGAACAATAAGGTTTGAGTAAAAAAGACTTGGTGTTCAGTTAGAAGTTTGCATTGAGAAGACAATCTTAGGTCAGATCTCTTTTTTGGTTTTGGCCTCTTCCGTAAGAAAACATCATAGTCACTAAAGTGTTACTTATCATGTTTTATTTCAGAATTATAAACAAGAGTGGTAGATGTTTGGGATCACCAGTCTTAGCATGTAATTGAAGTGTAATAAGAAGTTTGGAATGACTAAAATTGTGGATTGTGAGAGTAGTAGCATATTATGGTAGCGATGGAAACACCCATTCATATGAATCATGTTTGACTAGTAGATTGTATTTGTTTGTTGTAAACATTACCACATCTTGATGTCACTTTGCACTGCATGGCGGTTTTTTGCAGTCAGACATTGGGAAGACGTTTTTGAGGTTAGTTAAATGATATCAGTTTATGAAAAGAATAGGACATTCATTTACCATATTTAAGCAGAATGATTTCAGCTGAAGCATACAGTTAACCTTGAATGCTCTTTGCTCAGCGTTTGTTTCTACTTATCTTTTACTTATTATTAGTCTTTTGTTCATAAAATGATTTATGGCTATTCTGATACTCTTTGTTGCTTTTCTATTATTAGTATCATTGACATTACTGTCATTAACTCGTGGGGGAGCATGAGTTCAGTGGGTAGAAACTAAAAAAATTAGTGGAGAGAGTTTTGATCTAGTATTGAGTTTGTCAACAAATGTAATGTTCTGGGGAGTGTATTGCGTGATTAATGTTTTTTGTAGGTCGTAGGAGTCCATTTTAGCTTATTAATGGTGACAATGTTCATTCTTCCAAGTAAATATGTCTTTTGACTTGTAGGTAATGTGGGCGTATTCTATTATGATCTCTGAATTAAGAGGAAGTAAAGGTAGTTTCATGATCCTATATTATATAGTTTGCTACTGCTTTTTAGCTATAAATGATTGGCATTATAATAGAAATTAAAATGGAGTGTGACACGTTATTGTGTTTCTGAGTTATGTCATTGTCTGCCTACTGTCTTCCCGAAGTTTGTTTGATTGTACAAGCTGATTTTTATGTTATTAACATCTAGTTATTCTTTCCTTAATTGGAATTATTTTGCTACTCATATATCTAACTTTCTTCCAATTATATGGTGTATAGACATCCTGTCACTTGATTCTTTTTGTTTGCTTCTACATCCATAGAAAAGAGAATCTTTGAGCATTGTTTGTATACCTTTCATTTATGCTGATCACTGGATGAGCCCAAATGTTGGAGGCAACTGTTTAGTTGTCATGTTTTATGATTGTTGAGTCAAAATTAGCGTTAGTTCAACTCTGAATAATAGTGTGTGGTCCTGCTTTGGTGATTTGTTCTCTTAAAATGGAAAACAGATATACAGAAGTTAGAGAGGGTTGTTGTGACCTTTGTCTCTGACCTTGTACTTAGTAAATTACTTGCTTGAATTTAGTTTTGATTATTGTCAACGGAAAAACCAGAAGAAAAAAGAATAATAAGGAAATACCTGTGGTTAGCGTAGAAAGAACAATTAGATTAACATTAAGTGATTGGGCCTCTTCAGTCGTTGAAAGTCACTTAGGTTTCTTATGCTTTTTTCTCTTTCTAAGCTTTCGTTATCTTTTCACGTTGTCTCAGGGGTAATTTAAATCTTACAGTCTTGCCAACATCTAATTTACGCCTTTCATTCGTTGGGGATGATGGTCATACAGATAGACTTTTCACTTTAAGTAGCAAATCTCAGTGTTCTGCTGTAGAAGTCAATGAGATTCCAATGGACAATTCTGGCCGGTCTTTCCTTATTAAAATCCCAGGTGGCCGGGTTTTTTACTTTTGGTGCTCTGAGACATCCCGACTTTTGGGAATTGAATTGCTTGCAAAGGTATGTATGACTTACATAATTAACCTGTCTGGACAGAACACTTGTTTGCTATTATAATTGCTAACTGATTCTTCACCCCTGTAACAGATGAAGGATCTGATCAAGAGGAAGCCCTCCATAGCTGAGTTAACTGGAATCAGTGAATC